TCGTCGCTGTTTTTATCGTTGAACAGCAGTCGTGAGTGTTGTTGATGCGGTTGTTGTTTGTTGTTGTTGTTGTTGCTGTTGTTGCTGTTGTTGTTGCTACTATTGTTGCTCAGAAAACGTTTACTCTCATGATGGTGATGCTGTTTGAAATGAAGGTGGAGATGTTGCTGGTCGTGATGTTGCATTGTCGTGACGTCATTATGACGTTGCTGATGACGCTGCTGATGATGTAGGTGCATATACTGATGCGGCTGTTGCTGCTGCTGGCTATAATGAAATGATGACATCATTTTCGGACCCGGAAAGATTGCGGGCAGAAAAAATGGCGGAGTAGGTAGATTTGTTTGGGGCGATTCTCCCGAACTACAAAACGATGGAAAAGAAGAAGACGACGACGACAATGTTGCAGTTGGTGGCGATGATGACGTCGTTGTACTCATTTCAAAAGCTAAACGTTGAAGGTGCTGGTTGTGAAGAAGAGGTTGATGTGAACTAGGAGGATGATGGCTTGGATTCGTGTGATGACTGCTGTTGCTATTGCCGCTACTGCTGCAGCTGCTGCTTAAAAGTGATTTAGGATGGAAAGGATGAGGAGGAAGATGAAGAAGATGATGGGGATGATGAGGATGAATCGACGGTCTCAAATGTAACGGAAACATCTAGAAATAAATAACGAACAAAACTGGTCGTCAGTTATAAACAGAGTACCAGTTCAATTCAATTCAATGTAAATTAATAATAAAAATATTCATATCAATGATAATAATAATAATAATAATAATAATGAGAAGAAGAAGAAGAAGAATATGAGGATGGTGATGTTGATTGAAAAATTATATTAAACCTTCAAGTCAATTTTGCTTTCGTTGAATTAATTGAACGTCTCAAAATGCTAACATAGTTTACTATAATTCAGATAATCAATTCATCAATTCACTTTCATAACATCATAATTCACAATTCATTTTCATTACAAATTTTCTTCCCAAATCTTCGGAAAGTTAATAAGTAAAATATCAAAATTTTGACAACCTAGCATTTTATATATTCGCGTTCGTCTATTTGCCATGGGTGGAGTTAGCACATAACGATCCACCAACAGGAAAGCGATGTTCATTTTGACTGACAAAAGTCTGTATGTTTGTTTGTATGTATGTGTGTGTGTATGTATGTATGTATGTATGTATGTGTAGTTATTTGTGTTAAGAGATGAGTATGAGTATGTAGATATATCCTGTGTATGTGTCTATGTATACATATTGTATATATATATATATATATATATATATATATATATATGTGTGTGTGTGTGTGTGTGTGTGTGTGTGTGTGTGTGTGTGTGTGTGTGTGTGTGTGTGTGTGTGTTGATTAAATAACCTAACAACCCATATGTATAAAATTATATTTGTATAAACTTATATGTAGATATATGTATGTACTGTACCCAACTGTTTGAATACATAATTGGTAGGTATGTGTGCATATATGTTTGTATGTATATATGTATGTATGTTTGTATGTATGTATGTTTGTATGTATGTATCTATGTAGGTATGTATGTATGTTTGTTTGTTTTTATGTATGTATTTAAGTTTGTATGTTTGTATATATGTTTGTATATATGTTTGTATATATGTTTGTATATATGTTTGTACGTTTGTGGTGTTTGTTCTGTGTGTCTAAGAGATCAGGAATCTTCCGTCTGTTTTGACAAATGCAATTAGCGGATTGACGTTTGAATTGTTATGCACCGTCTTGTTGCTTGCTTGTTTGTTTGTGTGTGCGTATGTGCGTGTATATGTGTGTGTGTCTTTATCTTTGTAGTTGTATGTGTGTTTCTGCGTGCGTTTGTGTCTTTGTATTTTTGATTGTGTTTATGAGTGCAGAAGTAAAATCATTGTAGCCATGAAGAAGTCATCACCAGCCTTCACCACATTATTATGTCTCGGATGGTTGATTTTTGCTATAATGACCAATAGACCAGTACAACTGTTGCCACAATTTTTCAAGTGACTAAGATTGATGATGATGATGATGATGATGACGATGATAATGATGATGACGACGACGATGATGATCACAACCCCAACCATCATCATCATCATCGTCGTCTTCGTAACGGTCTTATTAGCCGCATGTCATATAATTATTTTGGACACTACCTCTATGTAAATATTAACGTTTCGACACCATAAAATAATAATATTAATAATTATAACATTTTCATCATCATCAGCATTATTATTATTTTTTTTTATATTATTATTATTATTATTATTATTATTATTATAGTTATCGTCATAATTATCACCGTCATTAAGGAACTTTATCATGGACACGAACAGTTGGAGTCAGTGAAGCGATGGAAGTGGTGATGATAAAGACTATGACGATGACGATGATGATGATGATGATGATGATGATGATGATGATGATGATGATGATGATGATGATGATGATGATGATGATGATGATGATGATGATGATGATGATGGTAGTG